AATGAAGCTGCTCATGGGTTGGGAGGATATCGGGACTGGTCATCCGGACTGAAAAATTGGGTGTTGCAAGTTTTGCTTCCCGTTCTCAGTCAACAAAGCTAAAGATGAGTGTCGTGGTAGTTTCCAGTTTTTTGCATCTGCGCTTTGAGCTGAGACGAAGTGAGCCTTTACTTCCTTTTGGTCTCTCTTCGAACCTTTTTTGTTTGAGCCATTGGTGGCTCCCTAGTGCTCTCAAAAGCTGAGAGTTGAACTTTTCAGTCTTTGGACTTTTGACCTTTAACTTTAACCCATACCATTTCAAAAAACCCACCAGTGTGTCTGTCTTCGTGCCTCTGTGTTTTTGTCTCTCCCTGTCTCTCTGTCTTTCTGTCTCCGTGCGCGTTTGCTTGTGTCTGGTTGTGTCTGCATGTTGCGTGTGCCCGTGCCTATGCCTGCGCGTGTGTGTTAGTTTGTTTGTCTGCCTATGTCCCGTTGCTTCTGTTTGTGCCTGTGTTGGCTCGCATGTGCAAGTCATGATGAACATCTGAGCCTTGCAGGCATTTGAGATCGCGCAAAAGGCGGGGATCTCTAGAAGCACTATGCACATTGCGGCTGTGGTGCCTGTGAGTTCCTTCCAGGTACTATCTAAATGTGGCGATGTGGAGTACACTACACCCACCAGAGCCTCACAAGCTTGATGAACTGGTGGGCCGCTCGCCCATAAACTTTGGCCCTCACGTGCCGAGAGGCATCACCGGTTTTGGATTTGCATTGACATGCTGCAAGTTTGGGTCCCAAGCCGAGGATCAGTGGACGATGATGTGAAGGTTGAGACGAAGCCGCTGACGCGCAACATGCCCATGGGCGTGAGGGACGTTTTCGCCTGCTGCCGGGGCCTTGGGGAATACAAAGTAAGGGAACGGAGTGCAGAACTGCCAGCGTTTCTTCAGGATTGCCCACTAAATGACACACAAAGCAGGATACCGAGACCTTGTGCCCGATGACTAGTTTTTTTTGCACCTGAAGTCTTCGCTGTTCTGTTGGGCTTTTGTCGCAGACAGATGACTCTTAGGTTCTGGCGGCCGGGCATTCCATTGAGGCCTTCTGTGGCCTCAGCCCTTGGCGAATGTCAAGCTCACAGGCCGTTTTTCTGCGCAGCACCGGTGGTCAACTGACCCCAACCGGAACGTACACGAGCAAAAGGCTTGCAGTTCCACCAATTATCTGTATGCAGTGACTGGCCGGGATATGCCATACAGCAAAACATCTCAACTTTGAGAGCAGCTACACACATGGAGCTTACCCGCCACACCTGCAGTTACTGCACCCACCAGCATTTGGTGGCAGCAAGTCACAAGAATTTGAGTGCTTGCTCGCTTGACTGGAAAGCTGCATTGCGCTCAATCCAGATCTTGTGTCCGGGGGATTGAAGAACCACCATGGAGCCTAGACAGATTGCCCTGGGACATGCAGCCCCATGGCGTGTTAGTAGTTTTGGTGTGGCGTGCTTTGGCAATGAGGGCAACCGACTTGAGGGTTTACCAGGTTTTTGTCATCTAATTTGTCGGGGCATGGCAAGGGGCCGACTCAACAACTTACCACCTGCCTTTAACAGAAAGTGTGGCCAATCTGTTAAGCTCAGACAGTTGAGCGGTCCAACTGTGCGAGGCTTTCAGAGATACTGAGCGGCAGCTCGCAGGCGGGAACTCAATTCAGCTTCCCCTCCAATTAATTTCAACTTGGGGGGTTGGGATTGGTGGTTTGTAGGTTAGGGGTGCCAAGCCATCAATTTGATTCGCCTAAGTGAGGTTACTTGACAAGTTGCAGTGGTGACATGCTGGGACTATGGTGTCAGTTCGGTTGAGTATAGATGGTGCTTGTTAAATTTGGTTCTAGTGCCGCTAATTTGTCCAAAGGACACCTGGAGTGGAGCTGATTTCGGTGGATTTGTCCTGAAAAGCTCAAACGCTGCAAGCCGTCCTTCGGAGGTCACCTAGAAACAGCTTTGTAAAGAGGCATTTGTGTGCTCTGTTTGTCGCCCCGCTTCAGGCATCCCGCAAATCGAGCAGGGAGTGCCGGTCTGAGCAGCTGTGAGTGGCTGATGAATGGACATGTGGTTTCAAAATATGCCAAACAAAGGTGCGTCGAGGAAACCGAATGGGTTGCAAAACCTGATCTCAGTCATTTCCGACACAGCCCCCGATGTCGCATTGTGCCAGGCTTCTTTCCATGCCGCGTCGAATAGTTTTTGTGAATCCATATCCAAGATGCCTCAGCCTTGCACCGAACAAATGCACGTGGAGTAATGATGGCATGAAGCATTGGTGCAGAGGCTCTTCAGCGTTCCACGGCATGGGTTCCTGGTAGTCACAGGAATAATAATAATATACATATATATATATAGATAGATAGATAGATCATATGTGGATATAGATATTATAGCTAGATAGAATGAGATAATCGATGGAACTATATCGTGTAGATAAACAGATAAACAGATAGATTGAGGCACGTGCAAATA